TTCGTAAGTCATTAAAGGTCAACCAGACAATGATTTGATAGCGATAAACTATCATTACCACGAATTTCAGAAGTCAAATATATTGACATCAAGCTCCCGGTGGTTAAAGATAAAGTTCAAAATAGACAAGTTTCTATTGAACATTAAGGAAATGACTAATGCTAGCTTATCCATTAGCCAATGGTTTGACACATAAAGTTTTTTCATGAGCATATTGCTCACATGAGTGTTATTCCGGATGGTACCTTGGTTTAGTGGGAGTCATTTAAGTAGTTCAATTGATTATGACTAAATCAATTCTGCAGAATAAAGTGATGGTTTTCTAGAGTCTATTTTGGAATTTAAAGTGACTTCAATTATACAGTGGTCACATTGTGTGAAGGAATTTCAGTTGATCTCATTAAGGACTAAAGTAGGACCAGTTGAAAATAGGCATGTAATTTTCATGCCACTCATCCATATTTGATCTATGCCATTAAGTGTATTGGTGTGGTGATCATGGTGGTTTAGTCATTATTATATCATGATTAAAGCCGCGTTGGTTCCATAATTAATATATGAGGTGGACCAGATTGGTTTAGGAGATGTCTAAGTACAAATAGCATACAATTGCACGCCTAAAGAATTTTGTGATATAGTTGTTTCAAGGAAAATATGCAGCCCAAGTGGGAGATTGTTAGGAAATTCTATTTCCTATAATGTTATGGGCCACATATTTTGCAACTATATGAGCTATTTGGTTATATGGGCTAATTGAAAGTGATCCAAATCAGGAGCCCAAAGATGTCTTGGATTGATATGGGCCTAAATGGGTGGAAACCCAATACTTATTCACCTTGGGTTTTATGGGAGCCCACTGCGACTAGTATATAAAGGAGTTGAGGTCGTGGTCCCCAATACACCAAGACCAAAATATTCTCGTCTTCTCCCCATCAGGAAGACGAGAGCTCTCCCGTAAAGGAACTATGGAGGCTTGGTTGAGGAAGGTCACAGTACCTCCTGGATCGTGCTCTAGGAGTATCGTCCAGTTCCAGATCATCTTCCAGATTCCGCATCAAACTCTTGGCGATCAACAACATGAAATAAGGTAACTCTTTCAACCTTTGATAATCTGACAAGATGATGGATTCCGGGGAATTACATAGGCTAAAGTTTAATTCCAACACGGATCGCTTCTCAATTTCTGTCTGTAGCTTCTTTACGTCTTTCGCCTATCGGTCGCCTTCACAGCCACCCAAGTTGCCACCTCTGTTCCTCCACCATTGCGGCATTGAAGGGAAGTGAGTAACACCTTGGCTCAGTGCTCATCTGATTGTATAGTAGTGGCAAGAGCAGTTGGTGGGAGGAAGTATTTGCTTCTAGCTTGCACTACTAATTCATTAAAAATGACGATGGCCCTAAATTTGCGCTCTTCAATCAGAAAATCGTACACTGTATATATAAAATTTGAGACTTTTTGACGTTCTGCGGAAAATTTGCTTTTTACCGAACTAGCGCGGGAGTGCTGGGCAATGTAAGTGAATTAGGTAACCTAATATTAGACTACTAGATTGTACCCGGGCCCGTTGGGCCAATTGTAAGTAAAAGAAATTAACAAAACTTCAAACTTTTGATGTTTCAATTTCCGTAATCTTCACATTTTTTATATTCGTACCATAGTCATATCATATGATATGTTAATGTCATGCTAATTAACAAATAATGATGGTTCATGCTAATTTACAAAATAGCAAGCTAGTTTCTTAGTTTTTACTATTAAGAAAGTCAATTATTCAATTCTTGAAAAAAAGAGAAAATGTGCATTCATCATAAAGAATGCTAACATTGTAGTCACTGTCATCTATGTAGATTCTTGTTGAATTAACCAGATGGGTATTCCAAAATGATCGGTATCACATTTTTACCGTCAACGATCTTCATCATCAACTCCACTATATTCATCGTTGATAGGTGCTTCATTTTTCGTATATGTTGGATCATATATGAGATATAATTTTCATGGCAAAGAATTTACCTCTTTTTAGTCACAAATGTTGTTGGAGATTCATTTTTTCCATCATTGATTATGTTTTAAATTGCTAATTTAGTTATGAAATTTGTGACCTCCAAATTCAAGATCAAAGTTGAATCCTAAATATGGAAAATGCTAATAATTGAGATTCATTATTTAGAAGAACAATGTAAGCTCTAGTGAGGATGACTCCTTAATTGAGTATATATGAAGAGCGAGAGAGAAGAGGTGATTATCACCTAACAACTACATTGTTTCATGTTGCTAGTCAATTATGACAAAAGAACTCATTCAAGTCTTCTTTAAGTTTTGATGGACATGTTATAGATTAGGGTCCATTAGTTGGCCGGATAAAAGAGAAAATTTTAAATATTTTTATCTCCTTAGTAATATACAAAAAAATCAATAAAAGAATGTGACAAATATATAATTGATCAATACACTTCTTGCTAGTAATTTTGATTATTTATATTAATTTACTATTTCAAACAAAATGAATACTATCATAATGATTTATTCATTGAAAATAAGGGATGAACATTCACGTCGGCCCCATTTAAAATTTTGAGTGAAATTCACTAAAAACGTAAATCTAGAATGTCTTTATCCATCCGAATCCGACCTAATTGGGTAAGATAAACCACAAACTTGGAAAAATTTCAATAGTTATGGGTAATACTTGAACCCGAATATTGTGGACAATGAGTGTGCACGATTTTCTCACTATCCAAACCAAACTCACCTGATTATTCACATGCATATGTATTTTGTCAAGAAATGGTAATTGTTTTCTCAACATATTTTATATGTATTCATATATAATATTTGTCCTAAAATTTATTGTTTATAACTAATTTTCTTCATTCTAATGATTTATTATCGCACTTTTCCACTTGTATAATATCAGTATACCTATGAATGTTAACATGTTGATTGAATTCATAATGATAAATTATAATTTATTTATTATGTTAGTGTTAAAAGTGGATGTCATTAAGAAGAATACAATTAATATGTTTTTCTACGTAAAATTTTGAATTACGAATTTAATTGAAAGAGATATATTCTGTTAAAATTTATTTAAGAAAGTTATATGTCTCCTATATATGTAGGGTTGATGAGGTTACCGACTAAAGTGAACCGAATGCACTATTGGTCAAGTTCTTGGTCCTAAGATATTTTTCACTATTAGACCACAATTTTCCTGAGTTTGGTCCGATCCGGACCGGGCCGATGCCCACCCCTACTCGTCATAGCCACTCATGTTTTGGTTAATGGAGACTAATACTTGAAGTTTGCTTACTTAAAAGGACCGCTACTATTTGAAATGATGGAATGTTTTTTATGTGCGAATGGAAAGCATGGCCAAGGATACATTGAGGCCAAGCCCATACATGCTGAAACAGGAAAACGGAATTGCAGAGAAAAAGTGGTTGGTTAGAAAAGACTGGGGAGCCCTTCCTAGAGTTGCGCAGGAAGTTCCAATTTTACAATTCTGTATGTTCTGCCGGGGAACATCTATATAGGATTGGTAGGATTAGTAATTAGGGATGGCAATCAAACCCATGACCGCGGGTACCTGCCTGCTCCCGACCCATTCAACGCAGGGAATTCCAACATTGATTGGGTATCTGGCGTGTATAGATAAAACCCGCAAAAACGTTTGATGGGTATGTAGTAGGTATGGTTTTAACCACTCCACCAATAGCATTTCTTCACATATAAAAAAATAAATGGATCAAATTATAACCTATCAACAATAGTGAGGGAACTCAAGAAAATAAATAGTAGAAATGCAATTGAGTGGTCACCCAAATCAAAACATAACTCCTTTCCATCAACTCTCCCTTCACCCTTTCACTTTTTCCCTCGTGTGAACAAGATTATGTAAGTTATTACTTAGTAAATGTATCAGAGTAAGAGAATAATAATTTGGATTACATTGTACTTTATCTTACCTTAAACATCTCAATCTCATGTTTCCGTGTAAAAGAGCAACTGAAAGTAAACCTATTCCTGCAATTGTGGTTAGTCTCGCTAGCTCTTTAGTTGTCGCCCCCTACTTGCTCATTCGCAATTACTACCACAAGAAAGTAATCCCTATCTCTAAGGGGGGCGAAGGAGATGTATTTTGGGTTCTGGAGGTACTGGACAAGCTCTCAGGGGATCATTTCTTTCTTATTTCTACTTTTCTTTCCCACGATGAGTAGGAACAGGAAAATCAAAAATTTCACTTTGAATTTCGAAAGTATATCCTCGAAAAGTAGTAGAATACAGATATGAAAAGAATACTTCATCAAAAAAAAAAAAAAAAAAAAAACAGATATGAAAAGAATATTGAGATATCGAAGGCAAGTCGCCAATCTCATTGTGTCTGTGAGTTAGCCATTGAACTCAAAATTGGCCTAGCTATTTTCAGCTATATAGTATTGTTGGCTATTCTCCAGATAAGAGTCAAATTATGGCTCTTATGGTGGTTTAAGAAAACACGTGCCAGTTGGCAGTTACAAAAACTACAGTTCTTTTTTTAGTGTGTTTTTCTCAACACATTAGCATTCATATTGACAACGATGTGCCAAATAAATATAATCGGATTGGGGTAAGTCTATCTTTTTTGGGATCTATTTATCCTTCTAAAATCTGCCAACAAGTGGCTCATTCTCCAGGTCAAGTAAAGGAGACTCCTATTAAGAAATTACGAATTGGGAGATCCCTTGTATTACCTATCAGTAAGGAGACCAATAAACTACTAGTTCAACATCTTCTAAACAAGGCTAGTGTAATGGTTTCTGATATACAGAGGGAGAAAATCTTAACTCCATTTTCAAGTTTCAACCTTTCCAGTGGGCAAGCAAGTTTTCAGCTGCGGTTCTTGACCAATGGAAAGAACCAGGGGTTGGTCCGGAAAGAGATGGAACTGAATAAACTTGTTGATGTGCTAGACAATGTTATTCAGGAATGCATAGGACAACTAGCTCAATCCGAGAATTCAGAAAGTATTCACCTTCGGGACTGCAGCTTGCCAAATAAAGGCTAATAGAAAAAAGAAGAGAGGCATTACTGGGATAATATCTATGATTGGATTTAAAAAGGTGTTGGCTTTGGGTGATGGGGGTGTATAGCTCAGTTGATAGAGCATTGGGCTTTTAACCTAATGGTCGCAGGTTCAAATCCACCTATACCCAACCTACCTGAACTATAAAAGGGTGCTTAGAGCTATAGAAAGGTCGTTGTGGTATTCCGATTCAAGTTGTGGTAGAAAGAAGACTGAGTTGCCATAGACCTTCGTCTAATCGCAGTGGTGACCACATCCGAGAGAAACTACTCTACACAAGACAAATAGGGAAGTCCTGTAAAAAAGAAAGGAAATCCAATATGTGGCTCCGCACATTCCACCAGTTCTCCGTTCATTTCCAATACTTATCGTGAAACACCAATAGCAAGTGGTCTTGTCGTATCCGCTCTTAGCCCTAATTAAATAAGAAGGGGGCAAACGCCTACGAAAAGATCGCTTGGATCTGATGTTTTAGTATAAGATGCTTTGAACCCTATTGAGAATGATTGTCTTGTTGTTGACTTCATGATATAGTAGGTGCGTTTAATGTTAAAATTGAAATTTACTTATAAAATTTTAGGTATTATAATGTTGGATGTACGGAGCGAGTCTTACCCATAGGTACACGTCTCATTGTCATCCTATTAGTAACAATTGGAACTCATTTCTAGTAGTAAAGTCAATTTGAACCCGCCCCGCATGTATTATCCCACTTGACCTGCGATGGGGCGTGTATTACCTGACCCGCAATAGCGTGGAGCAGGGCATAGGTATCTAATTCGACCCGCTCTGCCCCGTCCGCCTCGTTCTTGGCCCATTCTACCTCAATTTCTTACCGTATCTATTCATATTTCTTCTATTTTGACTTTTTTCAACTAGTTAGACTCAATCTTTCAACTAATTAGACTCAATTACCCACTCTATTATAATTATTTTCATTCATAAAGTATTTTTTCCTTTATTTTATCGTAAAAAGTAAAATTTTGAATATATATTTTTCAAATAACATGTAAGAGTAGATCCACTCGCCTCGTCCCATACTCGCACGGGTATTACACACCCCAACACGTAGTAGCGTGGGACGGAGCATGAGTATGGGTATTAAGTTACGCACTCCGTCCATGCCATCACAAACCTTAAGCAACTTATTTTCCAAAGTTGATGGCGAGTCCACTTGTAAACACTAAGATTAGTGGAATTATATATCATAATCACTTAGGCATTCGCAGGTTCGTTTGAAGACATTGAAGGTATTGCGCTTTTAGATGCCTGGTCATCATCGGTAGGACTGTCTACCACAACCCCTGCGGTGCTCAACAACCACCCTCTTGGAACCATTCTATTTTGCAGCACCGGCCGAGTTCACTTGTAAACATTAAGATTAGTAGAATTCTGTATCATAATCACCAAGGCAAGGTTCTTTAGACAAGAAGGTATTGCGTTTTAAGGTTTTCCTGGTCACCATCAGTATGACTGTCTACCCAGAACGCTTGTGGCCCTCATCAACAACCCTCTTGGGATATAACAGCTTCTGAACCTGAAATCTGTCTTCACAGATCTGCGACAATTTGAATTCAAATTGTGCAGCCATGGCTGAACTCATTGCATAGACTTACACGGTAATTTCAAGTAGGTCACAGAAGACACATTTGTTTATGAAAAATATGATCTGAAGCCGTGAAACTAACCAGGTAGTATCTAGTGCAACTTCAGCAAAACACTAGAAAGCCACCGACTAGTGGGGGTTGGACACAAAGCACAAATGTAGAGCTGAGCTTGATGGAGAACGATTGTTGTTATCATGAACTAAAGTTGAAGTGTCCAAGAAATAGGTGAAGGGCAAATATAGTGACAGAGTAACCAATTCTGCAACAATGGTCAATTAGAAACTCTACCATTCAGTTTCTCATTCTCTATTGAACATGACGATACAGAGTCTGATTGACTAAACCCAAAATAAAAAGGACTATCTTCCCAAACTAAATAAAAGCTTAAATCTTCAACAAGTTGATAACAGAAGGCCAAAATTGCTTACACGGAACAAAGAGGCAATGATACTGGACTTGCGGCCATGTCTAACAAGCAGCAGGAAGCATGATTAACCGGAGCTGATTGTTTGTGCTTCACACTTTCTTCTTCTTCTTTAGCTTGATGGCTGCCTCATTTGTCCCTTTACTGACATCCTTCTTTCGTTTGGCGCCATCCACACTCTTCACTTTAGAAACCTTCTTGGCCCTCTTCTCACTTCCCTCGTTAACTCCCTTCTTCCTCTTCTTGACTACAACTTCAGCAATCCCACCAGCCTCTGTCTCCTGGTCACCATAACTTGCCAGTTCCTCGCCATCAACCTCAGCATCGCCATTGGTGTCCATATACCGAATCTCGCTAATTCTCCCCTTCTTCTTCTTCCCAGTTCTCCCCTCCTCAAGATTCTCTCTCTCCAGCTCCTTCTCCGTCTCCTCTTCTACCTCCACTTTCTGACCTTCGATCTTCAACTTCAACTCTGGAACTGCCTCGTACACAGGCAAAGCCAAGCTATCGAGCAGCTTCAAGTGAATAGACCTAACACCACCCCACTTCTTAGACACAATCTTCTCAACCGCCCCATTAATGGTAGCCATCACATTCTCCACAATCTCATCTTTCTCCATCGAGAGCTTCGCTGCCTTCACAACACTACAAGTACCAGTCTTGACAAATACTAGAGCAGAGCCACAGGCGTTCTCAATCTGCTCCTTCCAACCCTTGTGCTTCAAATCAATCGGCACCGGAATCTTCTTCTTCCTGAAAAACTCCTTCCCCAACATCTTAGGCAGCAAAGGGAGCACCCTTCTGTCGGCCAGAAACAAGTCATACGAGTCGCAGAGCTTCCTCTTCGCCTCGAAGGGGCGGTAATCGGTCTTGAGCTTGGAAAGCTTGATGATTTTGGAGATGGGGATCCCGTCGTTATCGATCTTCTTCTTGGCGGATTCCTTGGTGATACCAGATTTGTGTCTGTCGTCGATGATCAAGCAGAGCTCGGAGCTTCCGTCTTCAGGGTTTGTCAGGGGGTGAGGGAGACTGACTTTGTACGGCTTGACTCGGCCGACGCCCTTTTCCGGGATCTTCTTGAGAGAGATAACAACGTACATGAATTCGTCCTGTTCTAGGAGTTGAGCTTTCTGGGTCTTCAGCTTGGTAGCTCGCCATGCCTGAAGAGCGGCGATGGCCCTCTGTACGGTCCCGGAACTAACACCGGTTTCCGTCGGCGGCGGCGCTTCCATCGTAATCCCAGCGAAGACAACGGAAGAGAGGAATTGGGTGTCAGGAAGAGAGGGAGAGGAGAATTGGAAGCAGAGGTAGAGGGTTTAGTAATTGGAATTGTCAAAACTCAAAAGTCAAAACCCTAACGAGCCGAGTAGTGGAGGTACCCGGCTCCTCCTACCTGAGCTGACTGTGCTGCTGTGGACTAAATCTAGTAAAGCCAATATGATTATTATGAAGGGTTCGGCCCAAATTAATGGAGACGCATGTATGGTTTGGAAATTGAAAGCCCATTCAATACTAGAATAATAGAAATTTTTTATGGGTTATAGGTATAATATGCCCTTCTACTATGACGTTTTATCAAACATGCCCATCTACTATTTTTTAGATCAAACATGCCCCTGTACTTTGAAAAAATTATCATACGTGCCCTTCTGTTAAGATTTCCATTGATAAAATCGTCAATCATGGTTGAACCGAGATTTAGACGACCCGACATCGGCAAATGGGAGAGAAAATGTCAGTTTTGTCTCCCGTTTTATTTCTCTGGGTCTCTTCAAAGTGAAATTATTTGAATTATTTGTCTATACAAAAGAACAAAAAAAAATTCTAAAGTGAAATTATTGGGGATATTTTAAACATTTGTGCCGCCCAAACCAAACTTCGACCTTGGTTAACGGTTTTTGGATGAAAATTTAAACAAAAGGGCATGTTTAATAATTTTTACAAAGTACAGGGGTATGTTTGATGTAAAAAATAGTATAAGGGCATGTTTGATAAAACGTCATAGTAGAGGGGCATATTATACATATAACCCATTTTTTATCTCTTATAGTGAATAGTGATGACAATGGGACTCGGGAGGGGCTGAGCGGGCGGGTACCTATATATTCATGCCTCGTGCTACGTTAATGCGAGTAAGGGTGGGTAAATTCGTGCAGTTATGGAGCGGGGTGGGTCGACGTACTCTTACATCTTATTTAAAAAAAATACACCTAAATTTAACTTCTATGATAAAACGAATGGGTAAACACTTTTCACTAAGCCAACACCGTCTTTAGCTTAAGTTTATCAGCTTGTTGCAGTTGAGGAGCGAGAGCGCTATATTACGAGTGGATGACGTCTGTCGATTGAAGTAGTTACGTTCCTAAACCGTCGTGAAAGGGAGTTTGAGGAGGAACCTATTCGTTGAATCCACTGCAACAAGGAATGGTACACGAAAGAGATTTGTTTTAAACTGATCGGATACCCCAATGATAAAGGCAAGGGTCGCCAAGGAGAGCGCAGTAATGATGGACGACGACAAGACTAATGGGAAGTAGCAGCAGCCACATGATGCAAACGTGGAAGCTGAAGAGAGTCCGATTACAGGTTTGTTGGCAACACAGTTTGCTCAGTTGAAACAAGACAACTACTAACTCCGACCATGCCTTTGATTTTAGAACCTACAGAGCACATGGTTGGTAATTCTCCCGAACTTTTTGAATGGATCATTGATTCGGGATGTCATTAGCATATTGTGTGTGACTCTAGTTGGCTAGATAGGGTGAACACTGAACACTAAAGACCATCATTCGCCAGTCCGAATTCCAAATGGCTCGAGTGTGCCAGTTATGGGTATATGATCAACACAATTGAGTCCTCACCTTCGGGTAAATTGAGTTCTCCTTGTGCCAACTTTCAAGTATAATTTGCTTTCGGCCTTTCATTTCACAAAGGACAATGTTGTGACATTAACATTTGTCGTTGATCTTTGCGTGATTCAGAACTCATGCTCCAAGACTACGATTGTATTGGGTCATCTTCATAACGAGCTTTACTACCTTTAGAAGATTCGGGGAGCTAGGAGCTCGTGTTGATGATGGGATTCCCACAAGATTCACAAGAGCGGCCAGTAAAGTCACGTCAGAGCTTTAGCATGCGAGGTTGGGGCATCCATCCATTGAGAAGCTTGAAGTTTTACATTCTTGTTTGTCTTTATTGGATTCTGGACACAAGAAGCATCACTGTGATTCATGTCTTCGTGCCATAGTCAGTAGAAAGTCTTTTATTTCACATTCGATTAAGACCCTTGCGTTTTTTTAGATTGTTCACATGGATATTTGGGGAGGTTATCGTACCCCCTGCTTTGGGTGGATCCCGTTATTTTCTGACGATAGTGAATGATTTTAGTCGAGCTATATGGGTTTATTTGCTGAATTTAAATATGATGTATAGCGTTATGTCCAGTTTTCCAATCAGATGCGTCAGATTGATACTGATAATGGCTTGGAATTTCAGTCTGCGGGGCTACGGCAGTATTATGAGGAGAATGGTATTTTACTGCAGACTTCCTGCATAAACAAGAAACAAAATGGGGTGGCAGAACGAAAACATCGTCACCTTCTCGAAACAGCAAGGGCACTCTGTTTTCATTCAGGGTTACTTGTGCATTTCTGGGGAGACTGTGTGTTAACTGCCACATACCTCATTAACCGTCTACCTTTCAAGCTACTTGCTAATCGGACACCCTTTGAGGTTTTACTAGGTCGCAGAAGGTGGTAACGGCATGAGATGTTTCATCGAGGAAAAATTTCCTTACTGCGAGTGTCAACCAGCTATAGCAGTCCCGACGTCATCTCCCACCTACGATGTCTCTTGCAACCCTACTCTTGCGCATGACTCTCTTGAGCTCCTCGCTCGACCTCTGCTAGCCGATCCAGATGGCCACGATGGGGACAATCTGCATGCCTTGCATGACACAGCCGGTGAGGACTCATTACATGACGAGCCTGGTGACATTTATCCTGAAATAGTTGCTCTTGATTCAGAGGTTAGCCATAATGCGCCCATGTTGCAATTGGGACTTAGATAGAGACATCCACCAAGTCATTTGGTAGATATATATGATGTTGAGCTACCTGGTCAGGCTCCTGATGCATCCATGGTTCACTACCCGATGTCAAACCAGGTTAGCTACCATCAGTTCTATCCCATGCATAAAGCTTACCTTGCAGCTATTACCAAGATAGTAGAATTTTGGAACTTCTCGGAGGCCATGAGGGATGCTCGTTGACAAGAGAAGTTAAGGCACTTATTGGTAGCAACAGAACAACAAAAAGAACGATTACCGAATTTGGAGCAGAGTCGCATACTAGGTCGCTTTCTTTAAAATATTCGCGACAATGCCGTTGTTGTGCACGACAAACTATCAATCGGTCGTCTCCCGGATAAAACAACTTCTCTTGGGTGCTCGGCAGTTTTGTGCGAAAACTGGAGTTCTTTGAACACTCTCTCGTTTGTGTTTATGCTCTTTGAAAATATTTTTGAGCATCAACAGTTCCATAAGATCGGGCATATGCTAAGGTATCACGAAGATTTGAATCTCAGCGTAGTGGTTACACTTCCGATTTCATAAGGGTGACTAGTAGTCTTGAACCCTATCTCAGACAGTGTAGCACACCAAATCTTCTCATTGAGTTGTGTTCTCTTCTTAGCCCGTGCGTTTGTGGCCCTGCATGTTATCCTGATTTAATGAACGCTCTAGCAACTTTGTGCTTCCAAAATTTCATAGGGGGCGACCCCACTCCCACATTCACACATGTGAGTCTATCAGAAGTACCCCTAAAGTAAATTACTTCACTCCACATGGAGTATCAACCTCATTAAGAGTTACTATTAACTCAATTTCTAGTCTTTGGGAATTGACATTTTTGTCGCCTCTCAAGAAGGCTATTGATGCAAAGTGGGGTTTTAAAGTCAAGTATTATTTGAATGGCTTTGTTGAACGATTTAAGACGCGCTTGGTTGCTAAAGGGTTCACTTAGATAGAGGGTATCAATTTCCATGACACTTTTGCTCCTGTTGCCAAGATTGTCACAGTTCAGGTTCTCATTGTGTTGCGATTAATCGGGGGATGACCTTTGCATCAGTTGGATGTGAATAACGCATTTCTGCATGGGGATCTTGAAAAAGAGGTGTACATGAAACTGCCACCCGGGTTCGACGAGGCGGGGGACACGAAAGTTTGTCAACTCAAGAAGTCGATTTATTGATTGTGACAGACATCCCGTAATTGGTAGCAGAAGTTTACCCTTGTATTGTATGAACTTGGTTTCTGCCCCTCAAAAGTTGATCACTCGCTACTTATATATCGCAAGGGAGAGACATTTGTTGCGGCTTTAATATATGTAAACGATGTGATATTGACGTGCACTGATCAGACTTTTATTGCCAAATTAAGAGTTTTTGTGATGCGACGTTCTGTATCAAGGACTTGGGAATTCTGAAATACGTCCACGACATTGAAGTGGCCCGATTCAGTTTTAAGTCAATGGAAGATATACTAAAAGATATAGGTGTTGCAGGCTCATGTTCGATCAGTTTTCCCATGGAGCAAAATCATACACTCACAAAGCCGACGGAGGACATGGCAGATGATGTCAGCAGCTATAGGCGATTAGTGGGTCGTCTGCTCTACCTTATGGTAACCCGACCTAATATATCATATGCTGTTAAAATTTTGTCTCGGTTTGTCAATCGTCCCAATCCAGATCACGTAGCTGCGGTAATGAGGGTCCTTCGATATCTAAAGAAGTCTCCAAGACATGGTTTGTTTTTCCCAGCTGATGGGTCGCTTGAGCTCACTGCATACTGATGCGAATTGGGGTGGATGCCATACGACTCGAAGGTCAACCACAGGGGTATTATATATAGCTAGGAGGTGCTCCCGTCTCATGGAGAACAAAGAAGCCAAAGGTGGTCTCGAGGTCTTCCGCTGAAGCGGAGTATCAAACAATGGCGAGTATTATCAGTGAAGTTATGTGGCTGCGGTTCCTTCTCACTGAACTCTAAGTACCACGAAAACAACCGACACCTCCGCACTGTGGCAACCAGGCAACCCTACATATTGTTGCTAATCCTGTTTTTCACGAGCGCACGAAGCACGTCGAAATGGACTGTTACTTCGTGGGTGAACGTGTGGTTTCGAAGGAGATAGCACCATTGAGGATAGACAGTTCTTCTCACTTGTCTGACATTTTTACCAAAGCATTAGGAACGAAGCAGTTTCACCACCTTTTGTCCAACCCTGGCATTCGTGATCTGCATGCTGCAACTTGAGGGGGAGTGTTGAACCGTGTCTCACGTTTTATGTTTTATTAACTTTGAGGAGCTCTTTAGTTATTTGTCTTGTAACCTAATTACCATATGGAGATTAGTGAACATGGTATATTAGGAGTTGGAGTTGGCTTTGCCGAGCTAACTTGTATGTGCAGCCTGTATACTGCGAAGATCAATAAAAGTACCTGAGAGTTTCGACTCTCCGTGGAGTAGTCTCCTTCTCATGGAACGGGAAAACCACATAAATCGTTGTGTTGTACTTCCACGTTTTAGTAGATTTTACAGACCGACCAGTCCGGCTCGACTTTAACAATAGTGCTATTAACCCTAATTCATATTGCAGACTATGTTAACTTTTTTAAATTTGAATGATATAAATCACTTAAAAAAATGATGGATGAGTACGGTTTACGAGTGGAGTCGAGAACTCGAAAAAGGAAGCTAAAATTTGTTGTTATCGGCAAAGCATAAGCATAACAACACAACTAACTAGACCATTCCACTCTGGGGAAAAATTTAAAAGTGAAAGCAAGTACACACAGTTTCGTGGGATTTAAGGAACTCACCCTCTCTCTCTCTCTCTCTCTCTCAGCACAATTTCAATCCCCCTGGGGAAAAGTCTAAACATGGCCAGTACAACAGCAACAAACGAAACTGCGATACACCCAGAATAAAACGACACACAAAAAAAAAAAAAAATGAAACAATAAATCCCACCTTTCCTCTTTTCCATTTTCATTTTTCAGCACTCTTTTTTTTATTACTAATTATTTTTCGGCAAGCAAATCCAGCCACCATAACTTGATTCGCTTCCTCCCTCCCAAGTCCCACCTCTTCATTCCTCACCTTAGTTTTCTTCTTCCGCAGACTAATTTCCGCGCGCTTACAGCTTTTTGCGCTTCAAAGACTGCACCAGCAGCTGACCTTTTCTCTCGTTCAGTTCCCCCGTCTCGAAGCTTCCACCGCCATTGATGATGTTCTATGCTTGTTAGAGTTGTTGCCGCTTGCAAAAGTTATCTGAGGTATTGGTGAAACCCTTAGCAAGAGAGCTGGAGTGGGGGAAAATGCTGCTTCGTGCAGTTGGGTCTTAATTCACCGGAGTAAATCAATCACTCTGAATGGTCAAAGTTAGGGTGAAGAAGCGAGTAGTAGTTCTGGATCTGGAGGGGCTGGGGTTTAGCTCGCTGTTTAATTAATCGCATTAGCTGTATTTGATTGTCTCACTTGGCTGCTAGAGTTTAGGGAATGATTAGCCTTTTTAGCTTCCTGGGTTTCAAGTGATTGTGGTACGAGAGTTTGACCAGGATCTGAATTGGTTTATGAATTATGAATCTTCTTTTTCCTTTTATGGCTGATTGGCATTTGACAAAGCATTGTTGTTAAGATTCGCAATGTGCATTTTAATTGAGATTAACTACTTACCTAATGGCTTCTTATTTAATTTCTTTTTACTTCTCAATGAACTGAATTGGGTCATTACTCTCCTCTATCTGGTCAGGTTGAAGAGTGTTCACCGCTGACAATTTAGCTCAGTGTTCGTCACACTATCATTTTCCAATGGAAGAGTGAGTATTTGATCCGGGCATCTCATTATGTGAAGTTGTAGAGAACAAGGGTTTGGATCTTTTGACTTACCGGATGGTTGTGTGCTTGATGTTTTCAGGGAAAATGCGGTTGAGCTTCTACAAAGGTTCCGGCGGGACAGGCGTGTACTTCTGGATTTTATACTTTCTGGTAGCTTAATTAAGAAAGTGGTCATGCCTCCTGGGGCAGTTACGCTGGATGATGTGGATCTCGACCAAGTTAGTGTAGACCATGTTCTCAATTGTGCCAAAAAAGGTGTGTCAAACAAGCATGTTATCAAATGGTTGCTCTGAAGTTTATGCGATTTTCTCGTTTATACTTCTACCTTTCCCTTATAAAGCTGTTGGTTTGTGTAGGTGGCATGCTTGAACTTTCTGAGGCTATACGAGATTACCATGATAGCACTGGCCTACCCCAGATGGTAAGGATCATTGAATTTGTTTTGAAGAATTAAGTGATGGATATATAGGTTTTATTAGTTTTATTTATAACTCTTGGCTATTAATAATTCCAAAATTTTGATGCTTACTACATTTTTTTTTTGCACAAGGATGAAGTTAATTTTTCTTTTATCCCTCTTGAGTACATTATAACTCTCTTTCCAATTTCAGAATAGTACAAGTTCCGCAGATGAATTTTTCTTGGTTACCGATCCTGCATTTTCTGGTTCACCTCCAAGGAGAGCACCGCCATCTATTCCAGCTTCAACTCCTATTTCAGTGGCTGCTCCTGTTTATGCGCCATCACCTGTTGCATCACTATCAAGTGTGGCAAAGTCAGAGTCCTTTAATTCCGAGGAAGAGAGAGAACTAACTGTGGATGACATTGAAATTGATGATTTTGAGGATGATGATCTTGATGCTGAGGAAGTTGCCAGTGCTAGGGTTGTAAGACGTAATACAAATGATGCTTCTGATCTTGTCCCCAAATTGCCAACTTTTGCTACAGGTAATAGCGGTCTAAAAGCGGAATTCAAGAATTAGTTCATTGTTTGTGACAAGGTTACAGACTGAAGTGCTCATACAACTGAGGTCCTATTGTGTTGATACTCTGGTTGGACATTCTCCATCCCTGCCCCATAACAAATAAGAAATTTACATAAACACTACATATGCTGAATACATATGGTTCAATGTACTCATCATTTTCTTTTCAGCTACAGTTTACCATGTATGCCTCTTAGACTCATTTTTCATGGTCGCAAGCGTAGAGCTGTAGACAATTGCAACATCTGCATTTTATTGTTGCTTGAGAACTGCAAACACTGGGTTGTTCTACTGACAGTTTGATCATGATTGTTCTAAGGCATCGCTGATGACGACCTCCGTGAAACTGCATATGAAGTCCTCTTGGCTTGTGCTGGGGCAGCTGGGTAAGTTTTATTTTTATTTCTTTCAAAACTGCAGTTAATTTATTTGTGATAATGAATTGTTTTTTTTTTCTGTTCCCTTTCTCCTGCCCTTATGCATGCTGTTCATTTCATGTTTAGCTTTCTGCAAAATCACTCTTTGATTCTTCTTCTTGTTCTTCTTGTCTTCATCATAAAAAGAGGCCTCATAGTTCCTTCAAAGGAGAAGAAGAAAGACAAAAAGTCCAGATTGATGAGAAAACTTGGACGCAGTAAAACTCAGACTCTTGCAAGTCAGTCTGAGCGTGCACCTGGGATGGCTGGTTTATTGGAAACCATGCGTGCCCAGATGGAGGTAACTACAGCTTCAATCTTTGTTTTGTTAGATGTTTGAATTCTAGGAACACAATGGATTCAATAGTGCTAAGTTATTCTGGGGAATTTTGGTGTCTGTGTTTATTGTGGATGCAGATATCTGAATCAATGGATATCCGAACGAGAAAAGGGCTGCTTAATGCCCTGACTGGAAAAGTTGGAAAAAGAATGGATACTCTGTTGATACCCTTGGAACTCTTATGCTGTATTTCTCGCACAGAATTTTCTGACAAGAAAGCTTATATACGGTGGCAAAAAAGGCAGGTATATTCTGCCCCCTCCTTCCTCCTTCCTTGTTTTTTTGTTCTTTTTCTTCCTATATCCTTTGTCTAAGTTCCTGATAAAAGCTTTAAAGTTATAAGCTAGGAAGGAATTAACTGATACTATTGTCAACATCTGGTACTTTTTCTACAGCTGTACATGCTAGAGGAGGGCCTTATCAATCATCCAGTTGTGGGATTCAGTGAATCTGGGCGCAAGGGAAGTGAGTTGAGGATTCTTTTGGCCAAAATTGAAGAATCTGAGGTCTGAACTTTTCCCCTTTCGATGGTTGTATTCATTCTCACACTTTTTGTTAACTGCAAATCTAGATTTTACTATTAGAAAGGGCAGGGTTGAGGGACATGTTTTTCTCTCGTATGTTTAATATGTTTAATTGTCCATAATTGTTCTTTCTTTATGGAGTTCTTGGGTGGATTTTCAATTTCAGAATTTGATTTTATAGTCCCGAAGCTAGGGCCATGCTGATATTATTTGTGATGTTTCCGTTTCTTTAACTCTATCTTAAGGATCCTCATTTCTTGAAGTTTGGAAGGCTGGGATGATCCAACTCAGTAGCGTTTTTTGTTTTTTCATCAGTTTTTTCTTCTTGAGTTGCTGTAAATATAATTTTCTATATCTCAATGCATGATACAGTTTCGTGAATCTTCTGCGGGTGAAGTGCAACGAACTGAATGCCTGAGATCGCTCAGAGAGATTGCTGTTTCACTTGCTGAGAGATCAACTCGGGGAGACTTAACTGGTGAAGTTTGCCATTGGGCCGATGGATATCCCCTCAATGTCAAATTATACGAGAAGCTCCTCCTCAGTGTGTTCGACATTTTAGATGAGGGGAAGCTGACGGAGGTTAGTTTTTAATTTGCTACCTGAGGCTAAAACATTTATGCTAGCACACAAGCTGCTGATGGTTGCAGCGGTTACGCAGAATCTTTTACCATCTAAAGTTGGATTCTTTTCAAAATCTAGATAACTTGAGATCTATAAGGTGTGCCTGATTATTGTGACTGATAAGTCTTTGTTATTCTCAGGAAGTGGAGGAAATACTTGAGCTCTTAAAGTCAACATGGCGTGTCTTGGGAATTACTGAGACCATACACTATACTTGCTATACATGGGTGTTATTCCGCCAGGTATTAACTTTTCATTTCTCCTTGAGTTATCGGTTCTTAAGGACCATGGCGAGTCTGATTCTGCAATTGAAGCATAATATTTTCCTGAGAATTGACTTATGTTCATTGCTGTCATCTCGGTTCATGCTCCACAGTTTGTCATCACCAAGGAGCTGGGAGTCCTGCAACATGCCATTGAGCAGCTCAACCGAATACCGCTAAGGGAACAACGGGGCCCTCAAGAGAGATTACATTTGAAAAGTTTGTCTTCAAGAGTTGATGGCCAAGAGTTGTCCTTTTTGCAGTCGTTTTTGTCACCAATTCAGAAGTGGGCTGATAAGCGGCTAGGAGACTACCATCTGCACTTTTCTGAGGCATGTGGTAAATCCATTGGACACGCCATTTGGTGGTGTCATTATTTTGCGATCTAATGACGTTTGAATTCCCTTCCACAATGGAGGAGAAGTTTGGAGTTATTGACTAAATATCGACTGCCATAGCAAATTTTTCCTTCGACTGCTGTGAAATGAATATTTACTATAATCTAGCACCCATTTATCTTTATCCCTTTTCTTTCTCTTTTAATGCTTTTTCTCACTGGTCATTTACTTGTTTCAATGGTTACTTTGCTATGCATTCCCTTGTTTTAGGATCCAGCAGTGATGGAGGGTATTCTTCAAGTTGCAATAGTCACTAGGAGGCTTCTTGTGGAAGAATCTGAAACTGTAAGTAGTAACATCCTTCTGTGTTTGCAATTTCATGGGTGTGCACTTAGGGAACTTTCTAGAAATGGAACATTTACTTTGAACCTTGGTGATTGCTTTACAATATATCATTCATTTTTTTGAAACTTGCATACTTAATATTTTCTGCAGGGAATAGTTTCTACATCTGCCATGGATCGTGATCAGATTGAATCATACATATCATCGTCCATTAAGACTGCATTTACAAGGGTAAGTGTGTTCATATAGGCTCAGTCGAATTCCTATTCAAGAAATTAAGAAATTCTGCAATGCACCCTAAACATAAAAAACGTGTCTCGTTAACTTGAAAGTTGGTTTCGCTACTTTTGACTAAAAAAATTCCAGATGATTATTTGCCCCAAAGTATGAACCCAAGGTGTGGTCCTATGTTATCATTCCCACATTACAAACCCGTTGGGGCTTACTTTTCCAATAACTTGTATGAGTGTATGGAAAAATATTATCGTCATAGTTGGGCTGTTCCGGGTAAAGAATCTTAATTTTAACCTCGCCGTCCTCAAAAAAATTATGGTCACTAGAAAATTTGAGATTTGCTTAATGACCATGAGTCTTAAGAACAGGTGCTTATGCACCAGCGTGATTATTTGCTAATTCTTTCTTTTATGTCTCTTTAATGCAGACTCTGCAAGGCGTTGACAAGTCAGACGCAATGCATGACCATTCTCTAGCATTGCTTGCAGAAGAGACCAAAAAACTTCTGAAGAAAGAATCAAGTTTGTTCTCACCAATTTTATCTCAGAGGCATCCTCAATCCATTGTTATCTCGGCCTCACTTCTTCACAGGCTTTACGGGATAAAGTTGGTAAGTACGACTAACATCAGTGGGTCTGCCATTGCATCTGTCCCCATATTACCCTGTTACTTCAGTAATGTTATCTATTGTTGCTGACTTTTAATTCAATTTCGTTCTTTCTTCAGAAACCGTTTCTTGATGGTGCTGAGCATCTGACCGAGGATGTTGTGTCTGTGTTCCCTGCCGCTGATAGTCTCGAGCATTACATAATGTCACTCATTTCTTCAACAAGTGGAGATGGGACTGCAGAAGTTAACTTGAGGAAACTGAACTCATACCAGGTTTGCTAGCTGGGTGATGTTGTTTTCACTTTGTTTCCTATCCATTCTGTGACTTATAGCATTTAGTTAGTCATCATGAAATGAAACCTCAAAAACAAATTAGCTATAGAATGCTTTTAAACTTGGTTCAGGAGACCATGTATGTCATTCAGTTACTGCTTTTTCCTTCCTGTGGCTGTAGTACTGAGTTTTGATTGTGTAACTTTGTCTCTTGTCCTGGGATTCTTTACTGTCGAAGTTCAGTAATTGATAGTTAACACATCAGTCAGGCTGCCATTCTTATGTTTCATTATCTTTCTTTTGCAATGAAGGTTGAATCAGTGTCTGGAACGCTGGTGATGAGATGGGTCAATTCACAACTTGGGCGACTTTTAGGATGGGTTGATCGCGCCTTGCAACAAGAGGTGTGATAGAAACCGACTTTTCTGGATTTATCATAATAATTATTATTACTATAATTAGGATATTATTAGATATGGTAGTAGTCATTGAGTCATATTAGGATAGTCTATTAGGTTTTTCGAGTCTTTCGTTATAAATATGTACTTAGCGCTTTATTCAGAGGCAGACAAGAAGATTATTAAGAAACCCTCTTCTAAACCCTATTCTCCCAATCCTCTCAATTCTCGTTCCCAATCCCTCTAAAGGCCTAGGCCGATTCTCTATCTTTCTCTTCTCAAATCCCTAATTCTGTTCTTAATCCCTAAATCCCCAATTCCCGATAGAACCCTAATCTCAGGTTCTATCATTTGGTATCAGAGCCCGGTTGCGAAATCGAGAAATCACAACTCTCAACCGGGACCATGGAAACCAAACGCGTCTATGAAGATTTCATCCCCAAGGTCACTAAACTAGTGAAGGATTCATACATCGAGCTGTTCTTCTCACTGCCGCGGTGGTTCAAGACGGCAAACGTGAAATCTTTGTCCAATATAATAACAGTTCACGGTGAAGAACCATTTGATGAAGGATGTAGGTGGGGTCGCTTCGAAGCAAATGTTCGGCTAAGGTCAGATTTTGACACCAACGAATTCTCGACTCGCTGGTTTAGCAGATACAGGCTGATTGTCCATATTCCTAAGATCCAAACTGTGATGGAGGAGAACGTCGAAGTCGCACCGCTCGAAGAACTGACCGCTGCTCCACCTGCTATTCAACTTTGGTCCACCACAGATGACGAAGAAGAAAGGTTGTCGGCGACAACATCCGTGGCCAGCCCGGAAGCCCCTGCATTAATTGCCGCAGCTCAGAAAAATGAGACTTCCGACACATCCTCTACTAATACCGCCAGTAAGAAAGAGGCGATCACTGAAGAAGAACCACCGGCTGCCATGGAGCCATTGCCAACACCACCGTTAGCCATTGACGCCATTGAACCAAGGATTGCAATTGAGGCGGAGCGGGAGAGCCAGTTGGCCGCAAGTTTCGTCAATGGTGGCTTTAAGAGAATCCCAATCCGCACTGCGAACGGGAGATTCAAGAAGAAAGGACGTCCAAAACAAAGATCTCAAATATGGTCTACAATGGACGGCAAGATAGAGCTGGATTTGGTGGAGATGTGGGATTGGCCTCCGTACCGTCGAACTGGCAGCTCGTCGCCGAGAAAGGACGAACCGGAGGCGGAGGCAAAGAAGCCGTCGTCGGGAAAAAATTCGCCGCCCAAGCAGGAAGCATCGACGGGGATGGATGCGGCAGAGGATCCGTCCGAGTCGTGTCTGGAGCGGCTGGTGCCGTTCGGGGCATTGCCGCCGGAGAAAGAAGCAAGGAAGTTGCTGATTTATCAAAGGAAGGGCGCGACGGTGATGGGCTCGTCGTCGATTAGGGAGAAGAAGTCGCGAGTAGGGCTGGCGCTCGACGTGACTCATAGCCGGGAGGACTGCTGGGCGGCGGAGGTGGAGACATCGGCGGGCGGCGTGACGAGGAAGAAGAAAGACGGTGGCGGTGAGCTTCCGCACGCGTCGCCGGAAATGAAAGAGAAACCAGAGGTCATCTGGGAACCTCGACGCGTACTGGGGTGTTCGCTGCCGGAGACGGAGACGCGTAAGGAGTCGGCGAAGATCGAGTCGGCGACAATAAAAGGTGAGAAGGGTGGATCTATGAAGGAGGAGGCGGATGGCGGCTGGGTTTCTCTTCTCAAGACCCCTAGGTCACCCTCCGTCCGCGCACCGCAGCCGGCCGAGCCATTGGGCCGAATTGCCTGGACCGAGTTGTCCATGAGAATGGGTAGAGGGGGCCGAACAGACAGGGGGCGGGAGCTGGCGCAAGAGATGAAGAGGGTGGGGCTCTTGTTTGGCCCACCAGATCAGTGGAGCGGGCCACTAATTGGGGTGGCTTGGGCTTCGTGTGGACCACCTCTTGAGCCGCACAAGCCAGAGATTGGAGTAGAGTGGGCCTTTCAAGTGTCTGGTGGCGAGTCCAATAAATGGGTGGACTCAATGAGGGGTGCAACAAGCGTCCCAACAGTAGTTGGGCCGAATCTGGAGGGACTTAAGCCCAACGAGAGCAATTACTTAAAGGAGTTAGGCTTGGCGAATAAGGAAGGTGGATTAATGGTGTTGGTAGATGGGCTTCCAAGAGAACAGGGCCGAAAATTAATTAGAGAAACAACAAAACGGAGTTATGAGCTTGCTCCAAGAAGGATTTCTCAAGGCCTTGATGAAATGGTATTCAAGGATGAGTTCTTAAACATGAACGAATCCTTGGATTACCCTAGTTACTGGAGGGCCATGATCGCGAAAGAGGAATTATTGAAGTTTGAATACTTCGATGAGGCGAGGAATGGGCCATCAGAATTGAAGATCATAACTTTGCAGTTACACCAGGAGGTCGAAGAAGGAAGGCCAAGTGAAGAGTTGGCGCATGATTGGAAGAAAAGGAAGCGCAAAAGATGGAGAAGACAAGGCGTGATTTGCACGTACGAAGTGAAGAAGTGGGTTGAGTCGATCAACCTTGAGGGCAAGGTTGGTCTCAAGGGGGAGGGGATGATAGAAACCGACTTTTCTGGATTTATCATAATAATTATTATTACTATAATTAGGATATTATTAGATATGGTAGTAGTCATTGAGTCATATTAGGATAGTCTATTAGGTTTTTCGAGTCTTTCGTTATAAATATGTACTTAGCGCTTTATTCAGAGGCAGACAAGAAGATTATTAAGAAACCCTCTTCTAAACCCTATTCTCCCAATCCTCTCAATTCTCGTTCCCAATCCCTCTAAAGGCCTAGGCCGATTCTCTATCTTTCTCTTCTCAAATCCCTAATTCTGTTCTTAATCCCTAAATCCCCAATTCCCGATAGAACCCTAATCTCAGGTTCTATCAAGGTGACTGCTGCATATTCCCCCCACTTTCCAAACCTTCCTTTCTACTCTTTTTAGAAATCCCATTATCACACAAGCACCACAATTAGTTCTTGTTTCTTGCTAGTCAACTTCATTGTGCTATTTCCTTCATTTATTTTCCTGATTTCCCTGCCCCACTATAATTATGTTACTAGGACTTACCTCACCTGATAACAGTTGTTTTCTTAATTATTCCTCAGCGATGGGAGCCAATATCCCCCCAGCAACGCCATGCGCCTTCAATTGTTGAAGTATACAGGATTGTGGAAGAGGTACAACTGCAAATATTCATCTTCTATCTAACCATATAGTGACCACTACGCTTTTGTTATGCTAAAATTATATAATGGTGGAATTCATGATGCTAATGAATTGACTGTAATGCATATTGTGCTAAGAAATAGAATGGTAGGCGATAATGCATCGTGAATTCACTCGCTTTTTTTTTTTGGTAATATGCAGCTAAGAGCTCTGAATGATGTGTTTACATCATTCTTTCTTCTTCTCATGTGGAAATTTAACTCTTCTACCGAGCTCCGCAAACTATTTAAATGTATTGATTATGCAAGATCAATAATGAAAAGAATAATTGAAAAAGCGAATGGCATTTGATGGAGATATCAGATTGGAGTTGTATTAATAATCTAAATAATGATAAATAGCTTTGGTCACCTGGAATTGTGATGCTTAGCCTGCTAAGTCTTTATTGTTTGCAGACAGTTGATCAATTCTTTGCTCTCAAAGTACCAATGAGGTCTTCTGAGCTGAATAGCCTGTTTCGAGGAGTGGACAATGCCTTTCAAGTTTTTGCGAAACATGTGAAAGATAAGTTGGGTGAGTGTACACTAATCATATCTATAACTACATAACTATGTGATCATGACTGTTCTTGGATCCCTTTCACAAGTATGTACTCAGTTGCCATGATTCTGTGATGGAACCATTTGTTATTGGTCATAACTACAGAATCGTGTGCCACATTCTTGAGCATGTACTTGAAAGCAAAGTTGCACTCTTGAGGATGTGTGATTGTTTCATCAATACGATGTGAATGTGGTCTGAAATTACAGTTTTTTGTTTTTTGGAGACGGTTCTGACCCTGGTGAAGGAAACCGTTGTTTCCATCTCTGTACACAACTTCCACCTTGTATTTCACTCTTCCATACTTTCGGCTGCTTTAAGAACTTGAGTCCCATCTATTGGTATCTGCAGGTTTTCTTCCTTGGTCTGCCTTATCTTGCACATGCTTGTGACTACTTTTTCATCTTCTGGTTATATCATGATTTGCAATCTCCTCAGTAACTTGCACATGAATGATCTTTTTCCTTCCTTTCCAGATTAGGCATCTTTTGGCCTTTGATTTCCAAAATCCGGCCTCATATGGATGAATTAGCAGCTAACTTTCTTAAGTCTTTTTGTTGTTTCAGAAAACAAGGAAGATTTGATCCCACCAGTTCCTGTTCTTACGCGATACAAGAAGGAAGCCGGAATAAAGGCTTTCGTCAAGAAGGAGCTATTCGAATCTAAGTTGCCTGAAGAGACGACAAAATCACGTGTCGTCGATGTCCAGGCTACTCCTATCCTATGTGTTCAGTTAAATACTTTATTTGTGAGTTTAGAATTTTCTCCCGCATTCTTCATCCAGAATCCAACTAAATAAGGATCTTATTATGCAGTGCACTTTGTTATTCCATTTTTTTTTATACATATTCTTACCTTTTGTAAACAGTATGCAATCAGCCAGCTGAATAAGTTGGAGGATAGCATTTGGGAGCAATGGACTGCCAAGAAGCCTCGTGAACAATTTATCAGTACGTATCTAAAAAGTTCTAAGCAGTGGTTTGGCGGTTAATAATGATTTTGCTAGAGCTTATGCTTACCATGGACTGCCTTCATAACGACAGAGAAATCTTTAGAGGAGAAGTCCCCAAGTTTAAAGCAGAAGGGTTCATTTGATGGGAGTAGGAAAGATATCAATGCTGCGATTGATCGCATATGCGAGTTTACTGGTAATCATTGTCGGGATCCGTCCACATGTCCATAATTTCGAGGAGTAAAATTTTGCCCTTATTTAACTCTTGGCTTTTTGCAGGTACTAAAATCATCTTCTGGGACTTGAGGGAGCCCTTCATTGAGAACTTATATAAACCATCGGTTTCCCAGAATAGGCTGGAAGATCTTATTGAACCCCTTGATTTAGTAAGATGCAAAGCTATCCTCTGTAACTGTCACTTTTCTTGCATGGCAAGACAGTAACAATGAATTTGGAGAACTCATTGCTTATCATTAACTTCTGCTGCAGGAACTAAGCCAATTATGCAGTGTAATTTCGGACCAACTCAGGGATCGTATAGTAACAAGCCTCTTACAAGCTTCACTGGTATTTAGCAGCACTCCTGTAAAACATACACAACGTGAATGCTTTAATTTCTACATCTCGGTTATTCTGTACTAATATTGATGTTATTTTCAGGATGGCTTGGTCCGAGTTCTTTTAGATGGTGGGTCATCTCGAGTTTTCCACCACACTGATGCAAAAATTCTGGAAGAAGATTTGGAGGTCTTAAAGGTACTTTCAAATGTGACCTCTACCAAGCCAAAAGGCTAGCTTATCAGTGAAAACATGTCCTTTCATCATGGTTTTTGCAATTATCACCTTTTGATCGTCTTATGTCCAAACTGGCCACTCCCAATTTGCAGGAATTCTTCATTTCTGGTGGAGACGGGCTGCCAAGAGGGGTAGTTGAGAATCACGTTGCACGGGTCAGGCAAGTGATCAAGCTGCATGGATATGAGGTCAGTTACTACTTACTACAGACTGCTATGGTCTTAATCGTCTGCTTTTCACGAACTCTGACGACTCTTGTATGAAACTCGACAGACCCGGGAGCTGATTGATGACCTGAGATCCAGTAGTGGGGGTGGTGGCAGCAAGCTGGGTGGTGATACACAGACTCTGCTGAGGATATTGTGCCATCGTACCGATCCAGAGGCATCCCAGTTCCTCAAGAAACAGTTCAGAATACCCAAGTCATTAAGTTGAAGATAGCAAGTTGAGAAGAGGGTTGCTATTTCCTTTTTTTTTGTTGTTGTTTGTGTTTAAACTGGGATCTTTTTCAGTTTAGTTATCTGTGCATATTATATCTCATTCTGTAATATTTCCCTTTGCTTCCTCTCCTTCTCCCTTGTAATAATGTATGTTGTGTATATTTCTGGATGTTTCTTCATTTTGTTGGCTTCTGCATGTTCTATTGAAATTCCAGAAAACACTTATTTTTATTTTGATAAGGGCGATATATATTTGGTTTTTTAATTAGTTGTGGGAGCCCTTCATTAAGAATTTATATTGACCATTGGTTACCTATGTAGGGGTCGACGATAACAATTTCGACCTGTTTGGTTTGTTTTGACCTGTCCTGATCCGTCTCATTCTCAACCTGTTCTTACCTAAATTATATTAAATTATATGTAATTTTAGTCAAATTACTTAGAATTTTTCTTTTATTACATCACATTTTAGCTATAACAAAGTTGTAAATTAGTGAAAATCTCAATTTCTCCAATAATATAACTACATTTATTATAATATTGTTTGTTTTCTTGGTCTTATAATGAAATGAACGAATATTTCTAATGTTTTCCACATAAATAGCATACTCATTAGGTCGACCTGCTCCGACCCATGATCCATGATAAATTGCCCGACCTGGACTGATCTGTCACATCGTGGATATGAATAGCATGATACTCGCCCCGGATCAGTGGACCTGCCCATTGCCATTTTGGTGCATATGGGCGTTAGTATAATGCTTAGACCATCTCCATCCCTGCAATCAATAAGCAATTTCTAAAGTAGGCCCGTATCGCCACATCACCAATCAAGCAAAAATCCCATTCAATAATTTCCAAACCCCTACATCCCTAAGACCAATAAGCAATTGCCAATAGTGGACTCATACAATTTCTTACCACATAACAAAGAAAGAAAAGTAATTGAAAAATAAAAGATATCCTAGGTGGCATTGCAAGATGAATTTCTTATTTAGCAATCTTGCTAAATAAGAAAGAACCCCCACATCCTTGCAATTGCTTAAAAGTGGTGCCCCTAGGATCCCACTAAATAAGCAATAAGTATAAGCAATGGGATGGAGATGGTCTTATGCCAAGCTCTGTATGCATGATAATCGAATTAATCTTAAAGGTCTTTACTTTCAAAACTCGAAAGTCATATCAATTGTGGTGTCTGCTAAACCAACATGACAACCAATCATCTACTATTATCCAAACCATTCATAATAGAACTCAGACATCATAATCAATGTAGTCAAAATCGCGTTTTAAAACTTAAAAACTTACCATTTTACGGTTCTAGGTCACTAAAACGCTTCTACACAAAATCTCAATTTTTATAACTTATGTAGTTAAAAACTCCGCTTAAAAACTTAAAAACTTACGATTTTACGCTTCTAGATCACATAAACGTTTTTACGTAAAAACTCGCTTTTGACTACATTTATCATAATCATTTTGATTTGTTAATTAGAGCTCTTATATCATTTGATTTGTTTATCGGAGAACTTTTAATCTTTTATGGAGTATAATTCTGGGTTATTGAAACCCAATACATTATTCACGCACCGCACCCATTGAAATTGAAGAGACCACCAGGAAATGTGTATAAATGAATTGGTCATATGAGGGATTTCTAAAGTTTCAATACGTAAGCCTTTAAATTTTAATTATACATTCTCATATCATATAAAAAAAATTAATTGCTCAGATTGTTCTATAATTCATTTAGTCCATGGGGCTAGGGCTGGAAGTTTGGTACCGGTATTTGGGATATACCGAATACTGTACCGAATTTGTCTATATTTGGTATTACCGAATACACGTATTATTTTATGTGATTGAGATTGGGATTGAATTTCAATTGTTATTCGGTATTAGGTATTACGGGATTGGGATCGGTATATACCGAAATATCGATCAATACCGAAATTTTTAAGCTAGTGTGTATTTAATTATACACAAATCATTACATCACTATTTCACACTAGTATTAGTCGTCTTTCAACCTCAAATTCGTCAAATTAAAGATTACCAATTACAAGAACTTGAGATGTTAGCTCTAGGCAACTCAAGACTATTTGCTTAGTCTCTTTGCCCTAAATTAAACAATAAAATCTAATTTATATATTTAATTATTAATTGGAAAGGTAGTTAATTATGTATTCGGTAATACCGATTGGGATACCGAGCTACCGATTGGGATACCGAAATTATTTAAGGATTGTGATTGTGATTGATTTTAGAGTGTAATTCGGTATTTGGGTTTTCGGTATTGAAATTGGTATATCGATACCGTACCGATTTCCACCTTAATAGGCGCCATGGACAAGATGGGGTAAATTGTCATAAAACAGAAGTAGAAGAGCGAAGGTGAAAATGACAAATTAGTCCATGTTAAAAGTTAAAGGGTGTGGTTAGAAAGAAAAAAAAAGTAGAGGGGCCGATCAGAGAGTAAGAAAAATCGAATTGGTATAAATCACCGTTTAAAAGCCCTATAAACCCCAACTCCCCCGAGAAAAGAAGGTTCCGGTCAAGTCTGAACAGAAAGAAGCTTGTAGTAGCGTCTGAAGTACTGAACATCTCTCGCACATCCCATCCCGTTCCCCGCCATGGCTTCTGCAGGCGCAGAAATATCAGCTCCGGCCACCGGGCCGGCGGCCGCGAATGTGGAGTGGCATGTGAGGCCTCCCAATCCCAAGAATCCAATCGTCTTCTTCGATATCACTATTGGTACCATCCCAGCTGGTCGCATCAAGATGGAACTTTTCGCCGATATTGTCCCCAAAACTGCTGAAAATTTCAGGTTCCCGCTTTCACCCATTTTTTGGATCCACCAAGTTGCTTTGACTATCCCAAAATTAACTCTTTTCTTCTGTGTTTTTGACTTTGATTTGTTGCAGGCAGTTCTGCACCGGTGAGTTCAGGTAGGGTTTCCAGCGTTTAATTTTCCCTTTTCAACTATTCGACAAATTGCTATTCTGCTTGACAAGTCGCTTGGATGATGTGTGGGTTTGGAATGGCAGGAAAGCTGGATTGCCTGTTGGTTACAAGGGATGCCAGTTCCACAGGGTTATTAAGGATTTCATGATTCAAGCTGGTGACTTTGTCAAGGTTGGTCTATATTCATTCTCCCATTATGTTTATATGATTCAATTGAAGTTTTCGACATTTGGTTCTGGATGTACTACTTTACTATAAGGAACTCTGATAATATGCACCTGTTTACGGTTCGATGCCCTTACTTACAATAAGTCTGAGTCTTTGTTGCTCTGCGTGTTCCGAGTGTTCTTTTCTAGTGTAATGAACTAGGGCACTAGTTAATGTGAGAGTAATGTTAGCCACAACCTTTCTTCATCTTGTTTCTAGTCGAATTTCTTTTGAGTTGTGAAACTGCTCTCAGGCTTCGCGTTGTGGTGTGGGTTATAGGTTTTTGTGCTGTAGGGTGTTTGTTCGTGACTCGTGAGCATTGTGCAATCCTTGATCAAATTAAGTTTTCTCCTCAGGGCGATGGTAGTGGATGTACTTCCATTTACGGGCATAAGTTTGAAGACGAAAATTTTGTTGCCAAGCACACTGGGCCTGGTCTACTATCAATGGTAAGCTGTCTTGGGCTTCGTATCATTCCTGGAAATGGCATTTGCTGTTTTTATCCCTTCTGCATATTACCTTTTAAACTCTTGTTGCCTCTCGAGTTTTGTAAAGTTGTTCTTGATGTATATTCACAGTTCGCAGGTAGAATGAAACATTCCTCCCTGATTAGTATTGGAAGTGCCTCCCAAGTTTTGTAGGGCAGTTAATACAGACAATTGAGTTACTTTAACTGATGTGTAACTTGATGTTCTGTCATAAGCTTTCTGCCCTTGAAATGGCTTTTGACAAAAAAGTAAGGAATTGGAATTCCATTTCCAATTCCATTTCCATATATTATGTTTGGAATAATAAAAAGGTTGAGAATTGAATTCCAATGGGTCTAAAATATGGGAATTACAATTCCTATCAAAAGTGATAGGAATTGAGAGAATGAAGATGGAATTAGTGGGACCCATCAATACTTTTTATTATTTTGTTGACCCACTATCATTTTACTCTCTTTCTCTCTCATTCATATTTCATTTCCCAAAATAAAGCAAACATATTACATTATTCATTATAGTTAAAAGTGCAATTCATTTCCATAGTTGTAGGAATTATACCAAACACTAGAATTGGAAATGGAATTCTATAAAAATAAAAAATTGAATTCCATTTCCATTTCCATTTCTTCTGGAATTGTATCCAAACAGCTTGTAATGTATAATGGAATCCTACAGAGGCGCATGATAGTTTCCAAAATTCATCAATCTTAATCATGCTGGCTGGCTTTAGTTAACTTTTGTCACTCATTTGTTTTTGTGTCATGTGTTGCAGGCTAACAGCGGACCAGGTACAAATGGCTGCCAGGTATGTATCATCACTTCTTGTTATATGTCTATCAGGGTAGACCTATGTAGGAACATGATCAGTTGCTCACACATGCAGCTTAAGAATCTTTAATGGATTCCAGAAGTTGGTCTAATCCATGAATGTTTGCCTTCAAAATTGCAGTTCTTCCTTACCTGTGCAAAATGTGACTGGCTCGACAATAAGCATGTTGTCTTTGGGGTATGTTTCTCTCGACTTACTGCTATATCTCTGCAACTCAGATTCTCTATGCGCCTCTGATGGATCGAATTGTATATACCTAGTCAACCTGCTTAATGTTGGCCCCTCTTTTGAGTTGATTGATTTTTCTTTCGCAGAGGGTCCTAGGAGATGGCCTCTTGGTTATCAGGAAGATAGAGAATGTAGCTACTGGACCAAACAATCGACCGAAGCTGGCTTGTGTTATTGCAGAATGTGGGGAAATGTAGAAGCTGTTGGATCAAAGAACTTCCCAATTTTTGAGGATTTCTAACAAAACAATGTCTAGGCACTGGTTACCGTTGTATGGGACTGCTGTCTTTGTTCAAGAGTTTCCAGCTAGAGGCAACACTTGCCAGTCAGGGCAGTTCTCTTGTACATGAGAGGATTGAAGACGTTTAATGGATTGCGAGTATCTTTGAATTGCCCATTTTGGCCAATTTCGCTGGCTATGTGATTGATTCATTAGTTGTATGAAACTGGTGAATGGTTGTGTTTAAGCCTAGAATGTGCCAGGCGGGAAAGGAGAGACCTTTGGAGAATACCGTTGTTCCTTGACGCGCGGGTGCTGCGTTCACTGCACAAAAGGTCCGGGGCGTAGCCCGCGAACACTCTCCGATGACTAAGTTAGAGACAGGGAGAGAGAAAGTAGTTTAGAGAGAGAGTGTCTGAAATCAGTTACCATTTAATGAAGTGGTTGGCTGCTATTTATAGTCCGAGGTGGTGGGTGTGAGTGTCTTGTTAGTCGTGTGTTTTCCCGCTCCTGTGCCACACGCTCGCGGCGGCATTTAATGAAGTGTCAGTGATGGCATGATTGGTGTGGATCCCTCCTTTCTGGTCGTACTTACCCGCCTCCTGCAGGCCTGACCTGGTAGCGCCTTATACCTGTTCTCTTTGTCCCTTGGGCCGGCCCATTCCTTGACTTACTTACCTTGGGCTTTTCCCCTTTTGGGCCGTCTCTGGTTACGTGGGCCTTGGTTTAGACAGCGATCCCCTATGGCCCAACAATTGTCCCGCAGGCGGGTAAAGCCTCCGGGTTTGGGCGGCTGATACTTATAATCCAGGGCGGGATCGCTTCCTAAACCAAAGGAAACGCCCTACATGGCCTCTCCCCCGGCCGCCCACATCGGACTTCACGCCTCGGGCCGATCTTATCCTCTCGTGGCTGCCACGTGTAATGACGCACCCTCCGAGCAGTCGAAGTGATGCGCCGCCATTCAACTCCCATCGCCATGATTACCCTATATAGCCACTAGGGTAACCCAACCGTCGCTCCTGGAAATTGTGCCCTCCGACGTTTAAAAGCCTCTGAAGGATCAACGAAGGTATTTTCTCTTCTTTTTCTTCTTCTTCGCTTGTGCCTTGTTCGCCGGTCTCTCTGCTCACTACTCTCTGCTTTTCCTTGGCTTTTTTGCTCGAACACCCTCGCCGTCGGGTTCCTCCCCTTTGCTCCTATAGTTCGCCGCGACGTAATCGAGTCCAGTATTCCCTTGCAATGGCCGGAGCAGATGAAACGTCCCAACTGCCTCTCTCCGCCGGCTCAGGGTCTTCGCCCGGACGGAGGAAGTCCCCTGCCGGTGTGCTCGTCGCCGCTAATGCCGCCGGCGGTGGTGCCTCCGCCGTTCCCGCTGTTCCGGCGTCTGGACCTATCAACCTAGACTCGTCGGAAACACTTACCGATCCCATAACCGCTGCCGCCCAAGGTATGCTAAATCTGAACATTTTATCGCCTTTATGTACGTCAGAACTTGGCTGGGATCTTAGCGGGGTAGATTTTGATTTTGATTTCGGCGGCTCCTGGTCTGATGACGGCCGGTTCTTGCTGGGTAGGTCAGAGGACGGCTCATATGAATTGACCGATGTTACTTTGGGTTTAGGCGTAGAGAATGTAGCCTCTAGGAAAGACGCTTCCGCCATGGGGGATAACCTGGCAAGTTTTGGTGACGTCTCTATAGCAAGTTCGGAGGAGGGGTTTAGTCTTGATGAGCAAAACTCGCCGGAAATGCCCGACTCCCCCTCCTTAGAGCTCGCGGAAGATACCTCGAGTGAGGATTATCGAGTGGTGGAGGACGACGCGTATTCCATACGCCTGCATGAGCGCATGTGGGGGAAACAGGAGGTACCCGCCCGCGCTTTCGAACGGGGCCCCGATCGTCACAGTAGACTAACGCCCGCCACCATTCTTACGCGGCTTAGGAATCACCAGCTTCCTTCCCACTGGAAATATGCGGCCCCGTCTCCCACTTCCCGAGCTGGTACTTGTCCCAAGGGCTGGATTACTATATACACCGAGCAGTTGAAGTGCGGCTTGCGGTTCCCCCTGGATCCCATTATAACAGAGTCGCTTCTGTGCTTGAACTGCACCCTTGGCCGCCTGTCGCCTACCGTCATCTTCCACGCATGCGCTTATCGGCTCGCGTGCAGACGTCTTGGGGTTGAGCCCTCTTTTGATGCCTTCCGATTCATTTACGGTCTCCGGCGGGTTGCTAATGCTTGGTCGTTCGGAAGGCGGGACAAGGTGTATGGATTCGTCACTGGGTCTCCCAAGCTGGATAATGCGTGGTTCAAAGACTTCTTTTATGCCAAGCCCACATCGAAATGGTATTCCGGTGATAAAGAACCTAGGACGGGGTTTGCGTATGGTCGGAAAGAAAATTGGGATGCTAGGCTCTGGACCCTTGATTCTCAAAAGGATCACGTCGTGCGTCTTGCCGAAACCACTCCGTTTAGGATGAAGCCTCGGGGTCCCGATTCGGTGAAGTCTATTCTGACCGAACTCTTCGGAGATGGTCAGTAGCATGATTGACCTGTTCCATTATTTTCACTAGTGGCTTGTATTCTGCAACCCTAACCTGCTTCCCTTTTTTATGCAGCTATGCACTTCGGGAGCGTGGCGATGATGGCGAGGCCGCCGAGGCGGGCAAGTTACCTTCTTCCAAAGCTGGAATCTCTTCTCAGGCAGCCACTAAACCGGGCCCGTCTACTGTTGCTCATTCGAAGTCATTGATCCCTCTGAGCAGGGCTCCACTTCCGCCGGCGGGGCAAACCACGCTCGCGAGCGGGGTAGATGGGCAGTTGACTGTGCAGGCCGGAGGGGACGTTCTGCGTAGGGGGCGTGACGTTGGTAAGCGTGTTGCTGAGAGCCCTGCTGAGGAGAATGACGATGGCCGAAAGAAGACAAAAGCGACCTCCTTGACCGAAACCGTTGACTTCTCTCCGCATTCCTCTTTGCGCGAAGACTGCGCCCGCCGTATGCTGCATGAACTGTCCGGGAAGCTTCTCGTTCCCCCTGAATATACGGAGGTTGAGGACCCCTCGAGTAGGCATTGGGTTGGCACTGCCGCCCGGTTTCTCCTTGCGGTATGTATTTTTACCTTGTTCAATTTTGGCTCTTTTCTGAACGCTTCTTAAGGGGTAGTTTGAAACTGTAGGCGGGCGTGGGCTTGTCTCAAGTCGGGATGATCAACGACAAACTGCAGTCGGTCAACCTTCACGGGGAGGTGGAGATGGAAAAGCTTCGGAAGCGGATTGGGGAGCTGGAAGCGGAGTCACTCAAGGGGCGGGCTGCGTTTCGGGCCGAAGCCAAGGCAGAGTTGGAGAAGGAGCATGGTGATACCGTAAAGGATCTTCGAGCGGAGTTGTCTCGAGGAGTGCAAAAGGTGAATAGTTTAATGGCTGATAAGGAGATTCTGGAAGCGGATGCGTCCCGTCTTCGCGTGCGCGTCGAGGAGTTGGAGAAAGAAAGGACGGAGAGCTTGCTGCGTCACAAGACGGAAGTGGACGCCGCATCTAAGGCGGCCGTTGCTTCCTATTTGTTGTCTCCCGCATTCCGTCAGATTGATGATGCTAAGAGGTCCAAGGCTATTGGAGATACGGTGGCTGCCATTCGACACCTGTTCCGCCGCGACCATCCAGAGTTGGAGTGGGACACTGACGCCGTGTGGGATGCGGTGGTGGCCTGGGGTTCCTCTGAAGATGATGTCAACTCGGAAGGTACTCTTTCGGCGGGGGCGGGCGGAGATGAAGCGAGCTCTCGAGGAGGACAGTGATAACTTGTTGGCTAGATTGTTGATATTTTGGAGTCGAGTATGTCTCGACTATAAACTGGTGCCTGTAATTTTCCTACTTTTTCCAGACATTGCCGCTCTAATGCGGTCGTTGCTTTCCCCCTCCTCTTTATATATATGCGTGTGATGGTCGTTGCTTTTTGCCATATGACGGTCTGAGATTCTATCTTGAATGTGAAGACCGGCGTGAGCGGGTCTTTGTCATGGGAGCGGGATATTTGATCTGGGAATGATCTATGTCCCGGGATGCGTTTTTATCAGGATCCCGCTCTGTCTTCGTGTGGCGTATTACGAGCGAGCCCATGCCCCTCAGGTCATTCCGCGGGCGGGTTATCCTTGCTTCGTGGTAGCGTTTTTAGGAATAACCCATGTCCCGGGATGCGCTTGTATTAGGATCCCGCTCTGCCTTCGTGGTGGCGTATTACGAGCGAGTCCCTGCCCCTCAGGGCATTCCGCGGGCAGGGTTATCCTTGTTTCGTGGTAGCGTTTCTAGGAATAACCCATGTCCCGGGATGCGTTTTTATCAGGATCCCGCTCTGCCTTCGTGGTGGCGTATTACGAGCGAGTCCCTGCCCCTCAGGGCATTCCGCGGGCGGGTTATCCTTGCTTCGTGGTAGCGTTTCTAGGAATAACCCATGTCCCGGGATGCGTTTTATCAGGATCCCGCTCTGCCTTCGTGGTGGCGTATTACGAGCGAGTCCATGCCCCTCAGGGCATTCCGCGGGCGGGTTATCCTTGCTTCGTGGTAGCGTTTTTTAGGAATAACCCATGTCCCGGGATGCGTTTTATCAGGATCCCGCTCTGCCTTCGTGGTGGCGTATTACGAGCGAGTCCCTGCCCCTCAGGGCATTCCGCGGGCGGGTTATCCTTGCTTCGTGGTAGCGTTTTTAGGAATAACCCATGTCCCGGGATGCGTTTTTATTAGGATCCCGCTCTGCCTTCGTGGTGGCGTATTACGAGCGAGTCCCTGCCCCTCAGGGCATTCCGCGGGCGGGGTTATCCTTGCTTCGTGGTAGCGTTTCTAGGAATAACCCATGTCCCGGGATGCGTTTTATTAGGATCCCGCTCTGCCTTCGTGGTGGCATATTACGAGCGAGTCCCTGCCCCTCAGGGCATTCCGCGGGCGGGTTATCCTTGCTTCGTGGAAGCGTTTCTAGGAATAACCCATGTCCCGGGATGCGTTTTATTGGGATCTCGCTCTGCCTTCGTGGTGGCGTACTACGAGCGAGTCCCTGCCCCTCAGGGCATTCCGCGGGCGGGGTTATCCTTGCTTCGTGGTAGCGTTTCTAGGAATAACCCATGTCCCGGGATGCGTTTTTATTAGGATCCCGCTCTGCCTTCGTGGTGGCGTATTACGAGCGAGTCCCTGCCCCTCAGGGCATTCCGCGGGCGGGTTATCCTTGCTTCGTGGTAGCGTTTTTA